GCTCCTCTCTCGCCCCAAAGCACTCACAGACGGCCCAGTCCTCCCTCCCAGCTGCAGTCAGAGCAGGAGACGTTAACCCCTCCACGTCCAGACTGCAAGTGAATCGCACATGCGCGGAACCGCCGCTGGCTGATCTATCGCTCTGATCCCGACCTGGTTTACAGTCAGGGCGGGATGTAAATGTAAAATTTTCTTTGTCTAATATAAATCACTGAAAAAAGGTTCATTTGTAGTTCTAAACATATTCAGGGTGTTTTTTTACTCAGTTTTTGTCTCTCCCACGATGTTATTCCTCTCTCCTACAGCAGCCATTACAATTACATGCATATGGACAATTATGCAAATTAGGCGATGACGTCATTTAGCGAGTTCTAGCGACTTTTAGGACAGCCAATAGCTACTTTTCTTACTGAGGAGTTGGCAACAGTGGGCTGAGCCCAGACACCCTACAAAGGAAACTCATTCAACCACTTGTATCAGTGATCTCATTCTTTCGGTCACTACCCAGAGCTCATGACCAGAAGGTTGAGTCATAGATGGATCAGAAAATCGAAAGCTTCGCCTTCTGGTTCAACTCCCTCTTCACCACAATGGTCCGGCACAGCACCTGCATCACTGCAGAAGCTGCGCCAAACCACCAATCCATCTGACGCTCCATTCTACCCTCACTCATAAACAAGACCCCGAGATACTCAAACTCCCTCGCTTGGGGCAGTAACTCTCTCCCAACCCAGAAGGAACATCCACCGTTCTCCAGCAGAGAACCGTCATCCGACTGTCATCCCCAACCACTTCACACTCAGTTGCAAACCACCCCAGGTCATGCTGGAGTGCACAGTGTGATGAAGCCAACAGAAGCCAACCCCACCAAGAATCGCCACCTGAAGTGGTGGAGGTGTTTGTGTGTCGCCATGATCCTGGGAGCCGTGTTGTCTGGGGCTAACAGCCCCTGGAAGGGTCGGGCTCAGTCCAAATAAATGTCATAGAGCAGCCGCCCTGTGGGCCCACCACCTGCAGGGACTGGCATCGGGGCCGGGTGCATTGGCGTGTTCACCCCTCGTGTTGCAGACTGGCTTTGGGGACATGGCTTCATATCAATACCATCATATCACTTTGGTTAAAAAATAAACCAGTTTGTGTGTGATGGGTTTATTTCAAACTTTAAATCTCTTTGTCTTCAGAGGAAATGTTATTGTTGTTATTGTTTATGTTCTGTGACATAAATCAGGTGATAAAGAGATTTTCCAGGTGACAATGACTATAAATGACGTGCAAACAGAAATTAGAGGCTAACAAAGTAAAGACAGAGAAAAACGGAATGAGGAAAGTTCTCCTGTTACTGTTCGTCTCTCTGAATATCGGCCACGTCCATTTACATTTTCTAACTCAGAAATCTGCATCTTTTGCCACCAATGACATCAGTGTGTGTGTATGTGTGTGTGCGTGTGTGTTGGCAGTTGTAGTGGAAACACTTTGTCTCAGTGGAGACATCTGGAGAGACTTAGTGGCTACTGTAGGGGGAACAAACCACACACACACACACACACACACACACACACACACACATCGTACAAAGAGCCTCTTTGTTGTTGTTTCCATGTGGTTGGAAACCGTCCATCTCTGCTCGGTGAAGGTGAGACAGAAAACTCTGTTGTCACCTGCTTTTTCCACTCACATCAGCGGCTGCAGTGTTTCTCTTGGACATAGAAGTGAAAGTTCCACAATATTTCTTCTAAGATTGTCATAAATACCTGATGGATTGATCTTTGCAGTGGACTGTTGAAGCAACAGGAAAGAAAACAGTCTTTGACAGACAGCTCAGTGTTGGCAGTATCCTTTCACTTTTTCATTACAAAACAGCTGTGAGCAAGATGAAGTGGCAGATAGCATTAAACATATATTTAAAAGAATACTTCACCCACAAAATTATTTTTCTCACACATCTCCACAGTGAACGAAGAATCCAAAAACAGTGAACATTCTTGATGAACTTAAGTAAAAGGGAAGCCATATTTAACACCTGTTTATAACTTCCCAAACAACTTTCACTCAAATGTTACTATTCAACACACCGATATTTCAGTGGTTGGGGAAAAGCAGACGACCGTTTACACTCTCTGCCTTTTTATTGACATTGACAACGTAACAGTGAATCTTCACCCAGTACTGATTAATCTTCGGAGACGACCACAGCTCATGTGTCATTGTACCTTCACCCATACGACACTTCCAACAAGCAGCTTTAAGCCAAGTCTGAAAAGCCGACTCAGGGTCCAATAAAATCGATGCAGAATGCGGAAGTGTTTTAAATATTAAGGTTTTAGAGAAGATGTGTGTGTGTGGGAAGGACAGAGCATACACTGGATAAATGAGACGTGGTGTATGCTGCACAAGTTGTTGTAAACATTTGTAAACAGATGTTTTGAAGTAGTTTGCTGTTGAAGTCTGCTACAGTTCAGTTCATCAGGAATGTTAGCCGTGTTTGGATTCTTCCTCCTCGGCGTTAGCTTAAAATCATGTGTGGACAGCAGCTAATTAAACTTGATGTCTCACCTGAAGAGCCGATCTCCAGAGATATGAATCACCTGGGAGTATCTTTTTGCCCACTGTCTTTATGATGACGGGATTGTTGGTCGTTTTGCTCGGGATATTTCTCGACGTCAACAAGTCTCTCCTCATCACACACGAGACACAGCAACAGCTGCATTGTTCTCTTTACATATCAGTGGTGAGGAGAGGAGTCAAGCTGCTACGGGAGCAGACTCCTCTCTTCATAAAGAGAACTCTGTGTGGTTCTCTGTTGATGAGCTGCAGTGTGTCCAGTGTGTGCTAGGGGTGGGACTTGACACGCGTCACATGGCAGCGCTGGTGTGTTGTCAGCTTAACCCTATGAATGACGCATAGTGCGTCCAAATTCACACCTGTTCTTCTCTGTGGATTTTCTCCGCGACCGTGCGTCATAGAGAGAAGCCATGCATATCACGTGAAAAAGCGGAATCATAGCTTTCCGACAAGGCCAAGCAGCTTTCATACAGCTCTGCACACACATTACTCTTGGATGGATTACTCAAGAAAGCAGGCTCGCACAGAAATGCCACGCATATTACATGAAAGCGCAGGAGCAGAGCTTTCCACTGATACCACACACATCATTGTGCTGTCATCCCATGATGCTATAAATACGGATCAATTGTCTACAAAATAAAAACCTGACGAATTTCTTTACAATCCATTATACAGATCTTGTTATCAGTCACTTCATATAGTGAGGAATATCGTATCTTACCACGTCTTAGGCTTGCGTGTGTTTCTCCCTGTCTATCCACATTTGTAGTCCGGCTTTCAAGATGCAAATATCTCCATATTGTCCAGTTGACACTCCATCAAACTTTGTATGACAAGACCAGCCACTTCACCTTTGCGCACCCAGACAACTGTAGCCTAATGCATGCTGACAGGGCCGTAGTCACCATATACATTGAGGGGGACAAGTGCCCCCCCCCCCCACCAATGCCCAAAATGTCCCCCCAATATATAACTGAAATGGAAAAACAACAACAAACTGCAAACAAAGTGGCAAATATTGTCTTGGAGGACATCATTGCACTTGGATGACTATTTTTCTATGATCTAAGATGTAAATATTGCATGTTTCTTTCAGATAAAACACATTTTTGACTTGTGAATGAGTCAATGGAATTTCTTGCAATAATGAAAAAATACTGGCAATCATGTCCGCCTGGCACAAACCACATGTTTTGGACAGCTGTGAAGTGACAGAATGTCCCAACATCATGGTTCTTATATTGCCAGATTCCAGAGAGTCTCCCCTCTTCATATATGGCAGAATATGTCAACTTCCAACTTGCTATGCTGAGATACATGTAAAAATGTAAGAATTTAGTAACACAGATTTGTTTTTTTCATTGCTATAAAAATTAATATAAAATACAGGCACATAATAGGACATGAAATGTTGGCAAATCTGGTTAGCCCAGATTGTCCTGGAAAAAAACAAGATATAGCATGTGTATGTAGCCTTTAGCCTTTTTTTTATATGAGCTTAAAAGTAAAGGCAGTACAAAAATACCCCAAAAACACCTAGGGCCCATAGGGCTAAGCCTTAATTAAATGTAAACAGGTGAGTTATATGGAAAATTCACCTGTCGGACAGTTGTCAGGAATTTTGTGATCAGCTGTGGGCTGCTGTGAATTTAGCATTTGAACATGTCTGTGGAGATTTACTGGAGCCTCAAGTGGCCGTTCAAAGAACTGCAGGTGTTGGCCTCACTGCCACTTGATGTGTTAGTGTTGTTTAAATTTACCTGCGCTCTGTAGCTTTGCTCGCTGCAGCTAGTTACAGCACTGTGCAGCTACAGTGCAGGTTGTTGTCACTTTAGCGTCAGTAAATCAAAACAAACATGACAAGAAAAAATGATGACATTTTCTTCAAGCTACAAAACTGGAGTGTACATAAGGTTCTTGTACAAACATTTTAATTAAACACATCTTTTATCGTACATTTGCACATATTTATTGACTGTGGTACACGTGAGGGAGGTGCATGCTGTGGCAGCACCAGCAGGGCTGTGGAGTGGGTGCATGCAGATTCCTGTGGGGTGCATTCAGGGCCTGTCGTGGTGGGTGGAGCATCGGCGGGTGAGGGACAGGAAGTGTGTGCGAGGGTGGTGGTATCCTTTGACACTGAGCTGAGAGGGGAGGAAAGTGTTGGCGTTGTTGCTGGTATGACAACTGGTGTTGCTGCAGTGTTGGTTGTGACCACTGTTGCCACGGCAACCCTGTCTGCTGCCACTGAAACGGTTGTGGAGGCCTCACGCTGTTGATTCCTTCCTGCCTTCCTCTCTTACTCCCCCCTGTTTTCTCCTCCTCCTCCTCCTCCTCCTCCTCTCTCCCAGACAGCTGCTGTTTGACGATGAGGAAGGTGTCGTCGTCGCCGTCGTCATCGTGTTTCTGGGACAGCACCTGCAGCTGGAGGGTGGAGACGACTGTATGAGGGCGTGGTAGGAGGGACAGAGGGGTGAGGTGAGGAACAGGGGATTGGGGCAGGGAGGAAGACTTGACGAGTCGAGCTCTTTGAGTCATATTCTTGTTTTTATCCTCCTGGCTCTCCATCACCTCTCCGTCACCATCTTTTCCTCCACGTTCCGCTTCAGCAGCGTCTCCAGAAACTGGTGACGGATTCCCAAGAGTTTCTGATAAAGCCATCTCAGAGCAGCCTTCACTGCTGCTGCTGCTGCTGCTGGAGCTGGACTCCCAGTCCACCTCTGGGCCGGAGTCTTCAGCTGAGGTGCTGGACTCGTCTTCGTCCCCCCATCGAAGCATGGAGCTCGCCTTTTCGTTGTAGCAGGCGGCGCAGCGAGTCAGACTGAGGAATTCAGGGCCTGGTCTGGACTGGACAGAGAGGGAAACAGAGGTTAGTTAGTTAGTTAGTTAGTTGTGAAGAAATGTCATCTGGTAAATTATTTATGGCTGTTTTTCTCTGGCTGTACATCATGGTGATGTCCCGACCTGCATCAAGTCCTCGTACTAAAACAGCAGAATACCTGCACCTTTAAAAACACCTTCAAAAGATTGTGGTCATTGTTTAGTTGACAGACATGTTGTTTTAAGAGTTAAGAGACACCCACGTCTGTCGGGAGCAAAAGAGGAACAAGTGTGACATTATTATAAACTTACAAAGTCCTCAGATGGAGGAGGTGGTCACAGTGGACAGCCGTGTCCTATAAACACAGTTTGTTTCCTGTTTCCTACTGACATCGTTGGTTTCTTTGAACCATGACCACCATCACTGCCTGAACTTTAACAAGTGGTTTTTATAGTAACTTTAGGACAAAGGTCCAGTGACCTTGATGAAGAAGCAGTTTAAACTTAAACCAACACAGTATTTTTTGTGTGTACAGTAAATCTAAAGGCCCTGACACACCAAGCCGACGGTCGGCTGTCGACCAAAGTCGGGCCGTCGGTGAGCGTCTGTCGCCCTAGTTTTTGTGGTGTATCCCGCACTGTCGGCACTTCGGTGTCGGTGGCTTTTCGGATGATTGAGCATGCTGAATCGGCGGCGGAGCTTGTCGGTGAGCAAGATCACTCTGATTGGCTGTTCAGGTTTTATTTCCTCGCCCCTGTAGTGAGTGAATCTGCCTGTAGTGAAACCGGGGCTAACCGGTGCTTCCTCCTCAGGCTCCACTTCACTCAGCTGCCCCACAGACCCGCTGCTTCTTCACACTTTAACCTGAATAACAAACCGGAGCTAGCTGGGAGCGGCTAGCGGAGCGTTAGCCGCAGCATGACCGGAGGGAAGCACAGCCAGTTAGCCTCCGCTAGTCTCTGAGCTAGCCCCGGCTCTCCGTTTGGATCCAACCGGAGCACCGAGCCCTGGTTTGTTATTCAGGTTAAAGTGGGAAGAAGCAGCGGGTTTATCGGGCAGCTGAGTGAAGTGGAGCCTGAGGAGGAAACACCGGGACCGTCTGGATGTAATAGTCCGTGGAGGTGCTGCGGTGCTCGGCTGCACAGATAGGAAACCCCTCAGCTGACAGGATGTACCACTCTCTCACTCCGCTCTCTCTCACGCAGGCGCAGAACGTACGTGCTACTTGGCCGTCGGATGTAGTCCGTGTAGTGTGTTCAAATGCAACTGACACAGGGCGACGTGAGGCGACGTAGACGACGCAACAGTTGGCTTTCGTCGCCGCTAGTTCTTTGATGTCAGTTTGGTGTGTCCGCACCTTAACCAAACCTTGAAGGTGCACTCTGCAGGATTGTCGGTTTGTGTTTGTAAACACGCTCATTGTAGCGTGCCTGGTGCGAGGGTGCTTGAGCCAAAAATCACACGTCTGCAGAAAGTGTGAAAGCTCTGCAAGTTGTCAGTTATCCAGTGATTCACAAAGTCAGGGATACTTCATTGGGGAAGAGTTCTTCTTCACATTGGAACAGGACAGTGACAGGTTTGCGTCAGTGAAGAGGCCCCACCTTCAATTCCAGCACATTGTACACAAAGAATTGTGGGTACTTCATGCCCGCTGAGGATACACACATGCATCCCTGAAAATTCTCTGAAGAAAGGATTCAGTCCTCGGTAGGTTTCGAAGGATCCTTGACATTAGAGGAGTCCTTCGGTGGGATTCAGTGAAGTAGCCTCCTTGAAATGTAGCCGTTTCAGGATCCTTCCCGGACTTTGAGAAGCACCAATCATCTGAAACCTGCCTCGTATTAGATAAGCGGTTGTGATAAGCCTGGCCCGGGCCATGTCAGGATACATGTTTGAACAGGAGGGGGTACAGGTGCATCTGCCAGAGCAAATAAAACATAGGCTCAAAGATTCATTACGCTCCCAGGCTAGTGTGTGTTCCTAGAGGGCGTGGACCAGTGATGTGTTTTATCCCTAATTGGGAGGACTGGTTGCTTCCCTGAGGGAGTGTGTGATAGTAAACTAATGTCATGCTGTCGGGGGAGGGGGGAGGGGAGGGGGAGGGGCACTCACGGTTCATGGAGTTCGTTCAAAGCTGTTGTTTTTAGTTCTTTCAGATGTGACGTTGCAGCTACGACCTGAAACCACACCGACCCCTGAGGTCAGATCTGTGTGGTCTCTCAGGTGAAGCTACTGCACAACATAACTGTGAGGGTTTGGAGCTCGTTCGTTCCGACAGCTCTCCCACAGCTTCATCACACCTGTGTTCAGTTACTCCTGGTGATGAAGAGGAGCTGCAGCTGATGTTTGTGCAGTATCTGTATGGAAAATAAACCTCATAACGGTTTCTTTGTTTGGATGTTGTCAGTAGTTAGTGAGTTGATGCGTTTTCATCACTAAGTTTTATTTCTTTGACGACATCCATTTGTCCACACGCTTAGTGAAACTGCTCTCATCTGTGGGAGCCAGTCGAGCTGCACGGTGCTGGGCTGTGAGCACAGGTCCCACTAGAGGACGTGGGGCCCTCATGCCACCCTCATGGAGTCTGTTTCTGACAGTGTGGTCAGAAACATGCACACCAGTAGCCTGCTGGAGGTCATGTTGTAGGGCTCTGGCAGTGCTCCTCCTTCCTTCATTTTTTGAGCAATGGATTTTTGTTTACTGTTTCTATATTTAAGTAAATGAGTTCTCTTTAACAGTTCCAGTTAAACAGAAGGAAAATGTAAAAAGTCTAAATTGTCAGTATGATTCTCTCTTTGTGCCTCTGCAGACGCTGAGTGGAGAGACACTGTGACACACTGTGTAGATTTATACCTTTGGTTGCTTTGGACTGTCTTCCTTCTGGTCCTCAGCCGAGCCTCCAGACTCCACCTGCTCCGTCTCTGCTGCCGTGCTCATCGCTCCGTCTGTGCAACAGCTCATCTGTCGGCAAGAGAAGAGGTAAGAAAAACTTTCACCTCTGAAACAAACAAAAACACAAGACGGCAGAAAAGAGGAGACACGTACTCAGTGACAGTATTCACACTGATCTCAGTTTACTGCAGAAGTAGAAATCAGTATTTAGTGATTGTTATAAACTGAAGTGGTTCAGACACCAGCTGTTAAATGTCAGCTTCTAACTTTTTCAGTGGAGTTTTATTTATTGTAAAACTCGTCATGTGCACAGATAGAAACCTCCCCACAGCGTGCACACAATTTTTTATTTATTTATTAATTTTTTGTACCAGCATTTCCTGTGTGCTAAATAAATAAACTGATAATAATAATAATTAAATTGTGAAAGAAATACCTTTTTTTCCACTTGAGCACCTGCCCATTAAATGTTTGTGCTCAACACTGACAGTGACAGAGTGTAAAACACTGTACTGATCATTTTAATAAACTTACGTGGTCCCTGTTTTAAAAACAAACATAAAACAAAACAAAAAAATGTGCAAAGTATGACTTGAAGCCGTGCATTAAAATATCATACTGGTGTTTTTGTGTTTTATTTCTACATTACTGTAAAACATGTTTCTATGAGCACCACCGTGTTTCACATTAATCTGCATTATGTCACGTTGCACCACCCGACTCAGTCACGTTTGATTTCCATATCATAATAACTATAATTCAGACTTTTTGTATTTATTTAAAAACATTTAATACTTAAAAGATGTTGTGTTATTATCACACACATTCTGTGCACGATGTTCATCCACCACATGTTTATAACAACAAGTCCATGAACAGAAAAATAATCAGCAACTACTTTGATGATTTATTCTTGGTTTTAATCATTTGTGGTGAAAAAATCTTAAATATTTTCCAGTTTCCAGCTTCTGAAACTGAAGAATTTGTCTTTCTGTTTATCTGTATATTGAGTATCATTTGGTTTCGGTTGAAGAAAACAAGATTTAAAGATGTCACACAGGAATATGGGAAGTTTCTCACTAATTTTGACGTTCACAGATTAAACAATTCATCAGTGATGAAGTGACTCGTTATCTGCAGCTCTGAAACCTCACAGCATCAGCCTGTTCTATGAGCTTACGCTGTTCTAATGTCTGATATCTAATCTATATAGTCTGTAGTATAAATATAATGTACTTGCTCACTGCTCCATGTCCTCCTCTTCACGTCCTCTTCATGTCCTCTTCACGTCCTCCTCAGCTCAGGTCCAGGGAGCGGCCTGACTGTCAGGTTGTGCTGACCTGTGTTTGTTCAGGTAAATGAGGATTCACGCGCAGGTGATGGAGCGTTTCTCCTTCCTGTGTGTTGTTGTGAGAGTACACAGTGAGTCGTAATGAGCCCAGAGGCATTAAGACATATAAACAAGGCACCCGACCACAGATAGACACACACACACACGCACACACACACACACCCTCAGTAAACACAGCGGGATCATCCTCCAGGCTGCTCCACAAACTCCCACCTACTGACAGTAACTCTTCCTGACTCATCATCAGTGACCACATTAAATAACTAACTCCAGTGACTGTGGTTCAGCCTCAAAGCAGCAGGACACCATTTTGGTTATTATTTTATACGTTTCATTGAATTGTTTATTATTTATTCTCCACACTTTTGTTTCATTTGTCGTGGCTATAATGGATCAGTTCAAACAAACTGAATGTGATGTAGTAGTAAACTATGATAACGAGATGTGTTGAAGGACAAAATGTTTTAATTTAAAACGTGTTAAAAACCTTTAAAGTTGACTGAGTGAGTTTAACCTGTTTCCGCTGTAATGTCGCCCTCTGCTGGACTGAAGCAGGAACTACAAGCAGAGCTGCGACACTACAATAAAACATTTTATTTGTTTTTAATCTATTATTTTAAATTCTCTATATATTAATAAAAGATGAAAATAATAATTAATATGATAATATAGTTTTATTTTATTTAATGTGTATATATTTGCAAGTATAAAGACCTTTTATTTTAATCTCTTTGTATTTTATTTTATATTTTTAATATTCTCCTTTTTCAATACTATTGTATTTCTATTTATTTATTTGCCAGCTATGTTTACTGATATATCACATGTTAATTGTTTATCATTGGTTAATTCACTTACAAATCGCCAGGGATTATTTAACATACACTAATTAAGGAGATTTAATTTTCCTTCATTTAACTTTAATTCAATTCAAAAGACATTATTATATATATCATTTTTAAAATCAATTTATTTTAACACGAAGTCCCCTTTAATTATTTTATTAGATTATTTTAATGTATTATTTTAAATACTTAACCCCTTCATTTTAAAGTGTTTAATTTGAAATATATAATTTTGTTTTGTTATTGTGTATTTTTTAAACAAATTTGCTGTAAAAAACAAAACAAAATAACTGTCACATTGAAAAGTGTGAATATACATTTTACATCTGTATCATTTTATTTAGTAGTAGCACACATAGCTTCTACTTAAAAAAACCTTTTGTATGGTAGGTTGGGGCCATGGCGGAGAAGATTGGAGGGTCATCACTGACGTCAGTGATTTGAGTGACAGATTTGAATGAGGAGTGGTGGAGATGTTTGATGGTGCCAGGCTCAGATGGTTCAATCTTTGGTCCAGTAAAACCTGGAGTGCCTTTGTGAGGAGGAGAGACAGCAGCAGGAACATGTGGAGTGAAGGAGTTCAGTCCTGCAGCTACAGGTGAGTCAAACCTGCTCTCAACAGCAACATCGTCACACCTGAGGACTGAATAAACTTTGCAACAGGAGATCAGACGCAGACTCTTTGCAGGCTGATTCAACCTTTCTCAGAAACTGCTGATCTACTGGGATTTTCGGCACAACCATCTCTAGGGTTTACAGAGGATGGTCCCAAAAAGAGCAAATATCCAGTGAGCCAAAATGCCTTGTTGATGCCAGAGGTCAGAGGAGAATGGCCAGACTGGTTCAAGATGATAGAAAGGCAACAGGAAGTCAAATAAGCACTGGTTCCAACCAAGGTGTGCAGAAGAGCATCTCTGAAGCAACAACACCTTGTCCAACCTTGAAGCAGATGGGCTACAGCAGCAGAAGACCACACCAGGTGCCACTCCTGTCAGCTAACAACAGGAAACTGAGGCTACAATTCACCAAAACTGGACAATAGAAGATTGGAAAAACCACATTCAGATGGAAGCATGGATCCATCCTGCCTTGTATCAACGCTTCAGGCTGCTGCTGCTGGTGGTGTAATGGTGTGGGGGAGATTTTCTTAGTACCAACTGAGCATGGTTTAAACACCACAGCCTACCTGAGTATTGTTGCTGAGCGTGTCCATCCCTTTATGACCACAGTGTACCCATCTTCTGATGGCTACTTCCAGCAGGATAACGCACCATGTCACAAAGCTCACATCATCTCAAACATGACAATGAGTTCACTGTACTCCAATGGCCTCCACAGTCACCAGATCTCAGTCCAATAGAGCACCTTTGGGATGTGCTGGAACGGGAGATTCTCATCATGGATCAACTGTGTGATGTCATCATGTCAATATGGACCAACATCTCTGAGCAATGTTTCCAGCACCTTGTTGACTGTATGTTCAGTGTGTATCTGCTTCAAGCTGCTACGTCACCTGAGACAAACACAGTTTATAATCTAACAGCTCTGCAGTGATGTATTTGCAGCAGAGTTATAATTTGGTTTCAGTGGATCAGGTGTGTGGGGCTTAATGAGCTTTTAACCAGGCAGTAACGTACTGTAGATCAGAGCTGACCTGACAACACAGAGACGAGCTCCTCTGCTTGGTCTCATTTTGATGAAGTGTAGTCAGCTGAGTAGATTAACTGGACCATGGACTGAATTCTCTAACTGTCACTCCTGATGGAGTCTGATGTAGATTTATGTGCCGTGATGTTGGAAAGAAAATTAGCAACATAAGCAGTAATGGGGTCCAACCTGGCACTAGCAAGGTGTACCTAATAAAGTGGCCGGCATGTCTGAAGCCTTCTCCGCCATGTTGCTACCTGATGTTACTGTATTTGGAGATTAATTTAACTTTATATCACCTTATTGCCCCTCTACAGAAAACATGCCTGTATGTAAATACATCAAATAAAGAATTAAAAAGAAAAAATAGAAACCATTAAAATAAAACGAAAGTCTAGAGCCTTGAAGTAAAAGACAAGATTACTAATTTGCAAAAATATGTGTTGCCATTTATTTTAGACATTTATTCCTTTGACAATGTTTTATTTATTTATTTAGTTATACATTATAGATATAAAAATAAATGTATATATTTTCATAATTATGTTTATTTTTTATTTATATTTCG